CTTCCATTTTAAATTACACATTCCAGTCCTTTGCTAATTATGAGTAATCTATGAATAATCTTATGAATAACAATAATAATTCCAACTTTAGCGACTTGCTCGCCTCTCACTCGACAAATAATAATAATAATCACAGCAAACTTATTACTCTAAATATTGGATCTCTTAACTATCGAAGCGTTGCTAAGCTATCTCTTCCTGAAAAACGCCAATCCTTCGTTCATCATCTTCGTCTCCAATCGTTAGATATCCTCTCGCTACAGGATACCAACGCTGAGGATAAAAGTACCCAGTCAACTCTTAACATCCTCTTCAACTCTAAAAGCACCTTTTGAACTAAACACTGTGGCGCAGCGTGTCTCAATCCCTCCATTACTGTTACACTCATACCAGTCACTGTCGACCAGCGGTTGATCATTTGCGAGATCTCTCACACCCGCCGCATGTTCGAACCTTTTACCTTAGCTAATCTATATGCACCTCCTCAGCATGCACAGAATTGCATGTCCTTTGGAAGCGTGCTTTCTCTACCTCCTTTCTCGTCCTTTTCAACAGATTAGTCATCTCTGTCGTCTCCTCCGCGACACCTTCAGTTGTTCTCACAAAGCCGCGCTATGGACAATGGCTTTCTATAAGCTCTTTCTTGTGTTATACTGCTCGCTTACTCAAATTGAATAGTCAATGCTAACCATTACAGTATCTCATATAAGCACCACACCCGATATTCTCAGCCCGATTGTCTCAAGCATCTCGCTTTTATCGCTGTTCGGCTGCACTCTTCAAGCCACATGGCAATCAAATTGGCAAAAGGTATTTTACGATACACATTTCACTTGTCAAACGATGCTCGCTTCCCTTGACCAAATGGTATTCCGCTTACACCATGAAAACAGCTACATTTTCTATTAACGAGTTTTAATTCTCACTAAACACTACTCATCATTTGCATCTTCATTTTAGCATCAGTTTCACTTCCTTTATAAATTGTATTGGTCAAGTTGGCTTTAAATAAAACCAGGTCTACTGGCTCACCAGCGCTCTCTTATAAAAAAAAATCCTTCCTTGTTGGCTTATTCTGTGGTCTATTGACCAAAAAAGGAGGATCACTTTGGACACCCCATTTCAGAAAAATGCTCACCTTGTATTACTTCTTATTTTATGTGCATCCGCTCCTGAAGGTGATGGCTGGTGTAGCTACAGAGTAGGCGTCGAAATGATAAAAAAGAATAAAAACAGGTTTCTCAAAGCATATTTCAAGAAGACTTAGTGTTTCTTTTTTTTT